TTCATGCTAAGCATCCTTGCTCAAAATAACTTTTTCAATAATTTGATATGTTGCCATCGTTTGAACGTAATGGTATTAAAATTATTTGCCTGCAATCATAAATCAGTGCCAATTATTGCATTGTCTTGAAAATCTTAGTTTGATAATTTTAAGATGCATACCATAAATGACTTTATCAGGCCATCGAAGAATTACTTTCTTGTTTCCTGCTAGATCTTTGCCTTGTAATGCTATCATAGCTTTTGTTGCACTTTCATAATGAGCAAAATTAACAAAGGCACAAAATCTCTCTGTGCAGTGTTTGGCACTCTTCACTTCTCCATATCTAGAAAGTAATAGATTATTCTGAATAATGCAATCAAACCAACAGTACCAGTTGAATGTGGTGAAGAGAGGTTCGCAAATACTTACTTTTTAAAGAGATTTGCTACTTGCTGATCAGTCATTTTTTCTGTCATATTTCCCACCCAAAGGGAGCAACATTTTTTAGGGTTGGTTGGGCTGAAGAGAAGAGAGAACAGCATTTAATCTCAAATACTACTCCTAGACTAGATGAAACAAAGTAAACTTCTACAATTTACTTACTCTTCCCGTAGGTCGGCACTGGGTGGAAGATCTATTGGTGGTGGTTGTACTATATCTTCATCTTCTGAAAAGTATTTTTCTGAATCTCTGGCTGAAAATAGGCCAGCATGTAGGATAGTTTCTGCTTCCTGGAAATCAACAAAATCTTTGAAATGCTTCTTTTACAAAATTGTGTCCAGCAGAAGGTTTTTATTAGCAAGTAAGACATACTTTGAGATCTTTGGCTATTTCCATTGCACAGCCCGCTTGATACCTGGAGTATCCCTTTTTACATAGCATTTGGATTTGAACCTCGGCTAATTCATTTAAAGCTTCTGTACATGAGGGATTAAGGTTTAGGGCACGCTGAAAGCATTTATAAGCCTCATCGTGACTCTGTAAAACAACAAAATTGAGTTGTAGAAATAGTTCAAACGTGCACTGACACATAGCTTAACATGTGGACTGTGCCCTGTTTTTGGTCCCTCAGATTTTTTTTAGTTTTAATTGAGACCATGGATGGATGGTGTTTAGAAAAATCTAAATTTGAGTACTTACACCCATGGCACATAAAATTTCACCCTCCCTAAAATGTCCACGAATATATTCCGGGAAGTGACTGGTCATGTACCGAGCATCCGCTAAAGCTCTGAAATTTCAAAAATCAAAACATTATTGAAAAGATATGATACGGACTGATGAGCACATTAAAACACAATTATTACAGAGCCTAACTATTATTTCTGTCCTCTTGACCTGAAGAATTTTATGCCATTACTTTAAGATTAGAGAAAATAACATGGGTAGATAAACATAGGTAAATTATAACAGAGTCAAGCACTTGGAATTTTACCACCCCCTAAAAAAAATACAAAAAATTATAGGGAATCTCGTGTTGCCTACCCTGTCAAAGTTAGGATGAGGCCCGCCAGGGCGCGCCCATTTTTCAAATGTTTGCCTTGACTGGACAGTCCTTATGTTAGAGCACTTTGTAGACATTGTTGATGAAAACTATTCTAGCCATGTCGCACCAGATCCTTACCTTATGTACTCTTTCCTATGAAAGTAACACAACGCCCTGTTGTTGTAAAACCGCTTCTCCTTCGGAAAGCGCCTGATCGCCTCGTCCCAGATGGCCAAGGCCCCAACCCAGTCGTCTAGTATGCATTTCTGGTATCCCTTCTCCCCGAGCTCGTCCATATCGGGGGCGGGGGCAAGATCAGAGCGTTAGGGACTGGAGACACGGACAGGAGGTTTAACTAACTGCCAGGTGAGCCAGAGGCGCCGGGCGGACCAGACAAACGTGCGCCTGTGGGGCTCAATAGCAAACTAAACTGGACGGCTCGCTGCGTACATATCTCGCGTGCGCCGGCTGGGCTGTGCCCAGCAGAGAGACCCAAAGCGTCAGCAGAGCAGACAAGCGGTCGCGGTCACGTGCTCGGCTGCCGGCGGGGTGGGGAGGGGAGGGGAGGGGCGCGGGGAGCACTGGCCCCCCCCACCCTACCTCGCGCGGCCTATCCTCACGACACGGCGGCAGGCAGCGGCGCCTCCACGCGGCGGCCGACGTTAGGTCGAAGCGATGCTTCTCAGGACTCGCCATTGAGTCCCCCCCCCCTCCTTCAATACAGCCTGCCCCACCTCCTCGGTCACCTTTCCGACCCCCTCCTCTCCCTCCACAGGATAAAAGGAATACTTGGAGCTGGAGGGGGATATGACCCCTCCCCCCCCCGTCCCCTCCTGAAAGTTGCCACCCATGTTAACAGGAAAGAAATGGTACTTGTATCGAGAGATAACGGCGTTGCCTCTTCCCCATTCGTATAGTAACAGTGTCGGAAAACACGCACAGCGTGCAGCAGGGAATACCAGTGGACCACAACACCTCCCGCGCCTCCGGGCCGGTCATGTGAAGGGTGGGCGAGGGCGATAGTTTCAGGTGGGTGGCAAAAGTACAGTTAAAACAGAAACAGTCACGAAAGTTGAAATTGATTTTAATAAATTAAATTGGCGTAATATAAAATAGTATGTATGAGGTTCTGATAAAATAGCATTACATTCCATGGACAAAAGCTCAGAGGTCAGCGCCCCGGGCGCCAACTTGAAATAAAATATGTACTAACGCAACAAATATGGTAATGACAACATAATACAGGTACATAAACGAAGCGACCAGATTAAAACTTCCTAGGTTCAGCTGAAGCACTCGATGGAGTTCTGGAAGTTACGCGTTGGCCACCAGGACTTCAAATTGAGAGTAGGGGACCTCCACGCCGGCGAAAGGGACGTAGCAGGCCTTGTGGCTCGGTTGCACCTGGGAATAACCAAATTATGATTAGACATGTGGTGCTAAAGAAACCTGCAGGGAAACCCGGTGGGGTGAAAACGTGTGGGGGAATACGCGCAACCTAATGGGCACTCACCTTGCCGATGGAGAGGGCACCCTCGTGCGTCGCCCTGCCGATGAAGAGCGCCTCGCCGTCCTCGGACTCGCCGGCGGGCAGCGCCCCGCTGGGGATAGCGTCCCCGGAGCAGGGCATCCACACGGGCTCGCAGCCGCACAGCACCTGGTACTCGGGCTTGCCGTGCTCGGCGCCGCCCCAAGGCACGTAGCAGACCCCATGTGAGGGCACCACCTTGCCGGGGAGGAGGGCGCCCTCGTGGCGGGCGCGGCCGACGAACAGCGACTCTCCGCTCACGTCCTGGCCGCCGGGCACCGCGTTGGAAGGGATGTCCCCGCCGGTCACGTCCACCCACGTGGCCACGCCACCGGCACCCGCGTCGCGGGGCTGAACCCAGCCGGGCGCGGAAGCAGGCTCTGCGATAAAGACAAACTCGGTGAGTCAGAGGGTCACCAGGGCACACAGGCGGTGCGAAACTGGTCCGCCGCCGCTGCTGCAGCACCCACCTTCAATGATCCACTGGCCAGTGGCGCCCCAGCCGGTGCAGATGCCGTAGTGCGTGATCCTGAAGGGCTCCGGGTCGTCCCAGGACACCACGGGGTCGGCCTCGCCCTCGCGGCCGACGGCCACGCTGCCGTTGCCCCAGCGCACCCAGAAGCCGCGGAGCTCGTCGGCGGTCACGATGTTGGGCGTGTCCACCAGGGCCTTGTCGGGCTTCTCGCGGTTGCGACGGATGGCCGTCTTCTGGTTGCCCCAGCCGCCGAGGAAGATCTGCAGAAAACGCAAGAAAGGTGCGAGTGAGTGAGCGCCCAGTAGGTCGGCAACCCACCCGGCGGGAACGCGCAGTGGGCGGCACCGTCGCGGTGCGCCGGCGGGCGCGACCTCCAACTTACTGGTGAAAAGCGGAAGAGGCGCAAGTCCTGGGACTTCCCATTGGACTTACGCCCTTTTCATATTTTTTTTTATTTCCAGTGAACTTCTCACCTCGTACATGGGCGAGGACTCGAGGGGCCCGGTGGTGAGCGCCACGTGCGCGTCATTGGCGCAGCGCACCTTGAAGAACAGCGAGTTGGACGGCGCCTCAATGAAGGTGTACTCCAGCTTGTCCTCCGTGTGCACCTCTGCGGGGGGCACGCAATATCAAAGAGAGTTAGCGACAAGCAAAGCATAAGTCACCTTAAAAAAAACACAAAAACGAAAACAATCTGAACAGGAGAATGCGACCGCTGCCACGGTGACCCCACAGAGCCAACGGTAAAAGAAAAACGGCCTCGTAAAGTACACAAGCGGCCGACTGTTCGTGTTCAGCAAAAGCTCGCTCTGCTTCCATAGCTTCCGGTCGCGAATAGTTTCCCCCCTTTGCGTTCTGCACGCTATACGCGACATGAAGCAGTGCAGCGAGATGCATGGGCGGATGAGCATGAGTAAGCCGGCCTGTGCGAACAAGATGCTGCCCACGTCCGCGCTGCAGTCCCGGATCCCCGCTGCCCCGCGCCCCGTGCGCCCCCGCGCAGCGTCCTCTGCGCCAGTCTGTCCACGCCCCGCCCCGCCCGGGCCCGGCCCCGCGCAGGCTTGCACCAGAAAGGCATCGATCTGGCGGGACGTTCCACGTCGCTAGCCCTGCAGGGGGGCCCAACACTTTCGAGGTCGCGCTCCCCGCCGCCACCACCACGCCCCCGTCGGCGCCAGGGGGATAGGGCGCGCCCCAGTCTGGAGGAGGCACCGAAACTCGCCAACTATAGGAACAACTAAGTACGAAATTTCGACGGCCGTTTTCCCCCAATAGCCGCTAGCAAGTCCGCATTTAAGAGGATTTTGCTGTCGAGCCGAGCGAGTGCGAGTACCCACCAGACCCTGCTCTGCACGCTCCCACGCTCCTCCCCAGCCCCACCTGCCAGCAGGCCCATAGGCAAGGCTCGCTGAAGTCCGTCCTGCGCGCGGCCGCTCGGCCAGTCAGCACGCCGCCGCCGGCACTAACAGCCCTAATTGAAGACATTGACGCTGGACGCGACCGCGCGGGGGACGGGGAGGTCGCCATGGCCCGACCGGACCGGACAGCACAAAGCTCAGTGCGCGCGATTTGGAGAGGCGAAATGGCACGAAATGGGCTCATTGAAACCGTTCGGCTCTACACTCGGCCCGCCGCCCGTGCCCGTTCGGCCGGACAAAGACACGCACACATCACCCCGACACGTAATTGCACTTCCAATTAGACTTAACGAGACCTGTCCTTTGTTCGAATAGGGGGGAAAATAGGGAAGGGCTAGTAGAATGTCGACGAAAAGCCCTGCGATTTCAGAGTCGCAGAAACGATTCGACACTGAGTAAAAAAAAAGTAGATTGGCGCTTGAGGCAGTTTTGCACCTGCGGGTGCGCCGTGCCGTGCATAGCATTGTGTTCGGTCCGATCGGAAGGGGGCGGGGCGGGGCGCGGCGCCATATCCGGCGGTTGCCACCGGGAAGGAAGGAAGAATGAATGCTGTGCTGTGGGCGGCGGCCCGGCCGACGCGGCGGGCAACAAGGGGGGCGAAGCGAAGGTGACTTATTCGGGTATGATAACACGACCTGCCCACGAACAAGGGCTGTAGCGAGGCGAGGGAGTCCCCCGGGTGCTACTACTGTACACCTCCGTTGCTCAGCGGAGCGTACCAGTCCGCCGAACACATGTCTGCCGAAACCAATACCCGCGCGCCCCAAGGTCACTCGGGCAGTCCCTGGCCCTGCCATACCCATCCCAATACTGCCCCGAGGTGAGGTGCTCAAGGTCGGCGCCGTGCTCCTCCGAGCTGCTCCGCCCAGGGCGCCGCCGCCGCCGTGCCGTCACGTGAAAGGGGGTCCCGGTCACGCTACGCCCGCCCCGACCGCCGCGCAGCACAGTCCTGGAGAGTGACGCTGGCACGCCAAAAGTAACGTCACGGCGATGGCACAAGACGACAAGTCCCGTTCCCCGAGTGTCACTAGATGAGTCACTAAGCGGCTCAAGCAGGCGAGGCGGCCGGTCACGCCACCGTCTACGAAAATGGGCAGCATCGTAACACGCAGACGACGGCGACGGTGCGGGGGCCGCGCAGCTGCAGCTGGACATCGCCGAGTGTGCTAAACTCGAGCGCCGCCGGTCAGGCGTTTCATCGCGGTGGTCGTGGACACGCGGCCGGACCTGCCCCCCCCCCCCTCTTCCAGTCCCACAACGCCCACCTGTCACATTCCGATACCGGTCGGCCACATAAATGCCGGCTATCGCACTCCGGCCGGCTAACGCCAACGACAGCCCGGCCCTGCCCTACAATAGCGGCTGATCTCAGCAGCACAGGCCACAGGCCGCCCCGCCCCCCGTCGACGCCGCCGTCATGTGGTGGCCGGGAGCCAACGCAATGCGCTTTCGAACGCGAGGGAGCGAGACAGAGATGGGGCAACACGATGATGTGGGGGACCGCGAGCCAATCCTGGGCGTGCGTGAGCCGCCCTGCAGCAGGGAGGGGCCCGGCGACCGGTCGCCGCGCCCCGAGGGCCACCAAAATAAATAACCGACGGATCAAACGCGGACGCACGAACCAAACCGCCGGCGCAAACGGGTGACAGTACCCGGCGAACACGAACCGCGGGGAAGTCACCGACCCTCGAGAGGCAAGTGCCGCGGGCGGTGCGAGAGCGGGAGCGCTGGACCGAGCCGTCGCGGCCCAGCGAACTGCGGCGGCGGACGCGGCCCGGAGACGGAGGGCCAGAGGGACTGACCACTCCGGAAGATTGAAAAGGGGGTCTTCGCGGTAGCCAGAAACACCAGAACACTTTCAATGGCAAGGAGGAAGACACTCACCTCGGGCTGACATGTTGACGGTAGTGTTTGACGGAGAAGGGCGAGTCGATCGAATCAGTCAGAGTCCGGCTGCTGGTTGGGTCCCCTGAGAGGCTGCTGCTGCCGCCTGGTTCGTGAGGTGGACTGAACTGAACTCGAGACTCGGCTCGCTTCTCGGTCTCGGAATGAATGGCGGTGGTGGTAGCGTCGGCGTCGGCGAATAGGACGTCTGCCGAGGTTCCCCTGCCGGCCGCGGGGGGCGCTGCGGGCACCGAGCCGGAAGTCGGTCGGCACTGCCAACCTCTGCCAAACCCCCTCCCGCCGTCCCGTCGCCCCCCGGAGCGCGGGAACGGATCGTGGGCGATCGAGGGCGAGGGGGGTGGTGAGGGCGGTGGCAACGGAGGGGGACCCACGGGTTGGAGTGAGTGAGGGGAGAAAAATGTGTGCGTCGCACAGACAGTAATGAAGAGCGAGTGTAATTGGGATCGGAAAACACGGCAGGGCAGGGATGAATAGCTCTGGGCTGACGCCAGGCAGCTCAGAGGCGGC